TAAATTTTACCAAACTGAGCCACTTGGCAACACGGGAGCGGGCAAGCCAATGGATGTGGCTCAACAACAGCAGCAGCAGCCTACGAAGAAGAGCCGCCGTGGACCAAGGTCTAGGAGCTCACAGTACCGTGGGGTTACCTTCTACCGGAGAACTGGCCGGTGGGAGTCTCACATATGGTGCGCCCTTAAAACCATTCACTCCACGCTCCAAATTTTTGATGATTCCAATTTATACCTACCATCGCTCTCGTTATTTATTATTCTGAATTTATTACCCGTGTTCCTTTTCCTCATTTGCTTTAATAATTTCAGGGATTGCGGGAAGCAAGTTTATCTAGGTATGTGATCTTTATTTTTTTGAACTGAGTTTTAAGCTTAGTAATTAATAGCATCATTTGCTATTGTTCATATCGAAAATTAATCTGATAATTTAAACGGGGTTTCCTTTTCATCAATATTTCTGTATAGGTGGATTTGATACGGCACATGCAGCAGCTCGGTGAGCTTCTGGTTCTCAATACTAAATGTTCTTCGTTTGTTTTTTATTTTTGTTTTTTGTAATTATATCTGATAAATTAAAAATAAAAAATTTACAGGGCATACGATAGGGCAGCTATCAAATTCCGGGGAGTGGAAGCAGACATAAACTTTAACTTAGAGGATTATGAGTCCGACTTGAAACAGGTAATTTCATGATCTGATCAGCGTGACAGATTTGGAAAAGTGTGTTTTATATTTTTTCTGATTTCTGTGTGCCTGTATAGTTGGAGAACTTTTGTATAATCCTGGCCTCATCTTCAACAGTGTTTTCCTTATCTTCAACAGTTGTTTGCTTTACATTTTGATTGGAAGAATTAAATTGTTTTTTATTCTTTTTTCGATTTTTTATTTTTTTTGGGTATGATACAGATGACCAATTTAACAAAGGAAGAATTTGTGCATGTGCTTCGGAGGCAAAGTACTGGATTTCCGAGGGGAAGCTCCAAGTATAGAGGGGTGACTTTGCACAAATGTGGTAGATGGGAAGCTAGAATGGGACAGTTCTTAGGCAAAAAGTAAACAGTAAAAAAATAAATCCTATTCTCATACTGACTTATTATTCTTCTGAGTGGGTTCAATCCATTTTCTTAGGGAATAGTCCTTTTTTGTTCTCAATTCCATCCATTCTTTACTACCTATTAACTTTTATTCTCGAATTTTTGTTGAATAGGTACGTTTATTTGGGCCTCTTTGATACTGAGGTTGAAGCTGCCAGGTGTGTGGTTGCACTGCCTAATTTATTTTTCCTACTTAGTACTAATTAATTTCCATTGCTTGCTCTCGAATTACTAATTAATAAAGAGCCTTAGGCCTTTAATTTATTGAATATATAGTGCGGCTAACGTTTTTTTTTTTTTTTTTTTTTTTAATTTGCTTCAACTATATATAGGGCTTATGATAAAGCTGCCATCAAGTGTAATGGGAAGGATGCAGTTACTAACTTTGATCCTAGCATTTATGAAAATGAACTCAACTCAACTGGTAAATACCATACTACATTTTTTTGCTTTCTACGTGGTAATTAAGTTGCTGTAATTTTGTTAACAGAAGATCAGAAAAAAAAATTATACAGAAAAGATTAAGCTGCAAAATATTCATTAGTGTGGTTTTCCAGAATCTACTGATAATGCAGCAGATCACAATCTTGACCTGAGCTTGGGTGGTTCAAGCTCAAAGCAAGGAAACCGAGAAAATGGGGATAATATTAATAGGGGTCAAAATCCTTCATCTATGCAATTTGGTGTTGATTGGCGGCAGCAAGGATTAAGGCCTGAGGTACTAATTAATTAGTTGAATATTATAGTTTAAAATTATCTTCCTTTTTCTTTTGATCTTCAAATGCAAAATGTTTTATTTTCCAGAAGCAAACTGCTCCAATCGATATGAATGGTCGAAGAAGAGATAAGGGGTACAATGAATCAGAAACGTTGCAGCTCTTGAGCCAGACACACCTACATTCTCCAGTGTCGTTGAAGCCTAATAATAATAGTCAAGTACAACGGTTTGGCCAATTTATGAGACCTGGTGAATCCCATATGATTCAAATGTTTCCACATCAG